GTAGGAATGGGTGCGAGCAAGCTCTTTTACAGGATAAACACATACATTCACCTATTCATAACTTTGGATTAGCTGACCATTTTGCGATCCATAAGCTTTTACAGGTAACTCCTGAATATAAATTTTTTCATCATGTGAGGAGTTTAAATCAGCCTCGCTCAACTTTTTCTTCCCAGAAGAACCCTAGAAATAACTGGGAAAAGCCCTATTACAGTGGTGGTCAGAATACACCCTTACAGGCTGCTAAAAAATCACTGGTGTCATGCTGCTGGTTCTGCAAAGTGGCATTGGAACTATGCAGGCACCATCAAACTAGAGGTCAAATAGCCACAACTCAAAAAAAAACCAACAACCTCAGGAGGAACCCTAGGGTTTCATGGATCCCTCTTTGAGAATGGCTGGTTATAACTGACCAGTTTTAGAACAGGTTAAGTATAGTTTTTTTAATAAAAGTCAATCTGCTGACTTTACCTTCCAAAAAATTCTAGTTGTCCAGCCATTATGACCCACTTGCTGAATTACTGAACCAAAACACGGAAACCATTAAGTACTTCTTAATTTCTTGATCTTCTTAATTTCTTGTACCGAAGCCAATGTCACCATAATGGCCAAGAAACCGGCATTTCAGAAGGTCAGAAATGTCAGCCTTCATATTTCTCTCATGACAAGTTAAAGTGACATTAAACCCTCAGATTTTTTAACATAAACCAATACTGTAATGTGTGCCTTACTGTAATCCATGGTAGTCTCCCTTCTCTTTGCTGCTCTTCCTTTTAAATCCTCATGTCTTCTCATGCTTGGGGAGAACTACCCTTTGCAGCTGAGTGCCTCTTCCTGTAGTGCTGGCTCAGGTTGCAAACCTACACACAGACACCATGTATCCATTTCAGAGACAATGCAGTCTGCTGCAAAAAAGTTCTGCCCAGCATGAGAACAGATACAGGATTTAAAAGGAAGAGCAGCAAAGAACCATGGATTACAGTAAGGCACACATTACAGTAGTTTTATGTTAAAAAATCTGAGGGTTTAATGTCACTTTAAGACTTTGCAAGACAGTCGAGCCACCCCGAAAATTGATTATAGAATACAAAGTGGCAGGTCGCAGATATAAACCAGTAGGTTGCCATATATTGCATTTCAAATTGAGAGTATAATAAAAATTGAACTAACCTATAAAAGGTAAATACTATTAAATATAAAATGTACGTCAAGTGAAAGACATGCTACATTTTTGTGAGGTCACCACACCACAGCACACCGCGGAGACCTGATGGAGTGTAGACTTTTAGTAAAGTTTTTCAATAAAGTAATTTTTCAGCAATGAAACAGTGGAGCCCATTGCCCTCTCATCACCCGGTAGACATGACAGCAGGCTGCAGACTAAAAACAGAGTGCTTTTGCGTGCGGGAAGTGTGAACGAGCCCTTATTGCGGAAGCTTTTGCTTCATATGAAAAAAACTATTCAATGACTGCGAAACAGCAAAATACTAATAACGTACTTATATAAAATATAGCTTTTGACAGACATGAAAGTACATAGCTACCGATCAACACAGGAGCAGAGAAGTGAAATTCTGCTCACTCTCTGTAATTTTTATTTAATTACCCGATGCAGCTATTGAAAAGTTAAACTCATTTCAGAAGTGATCTTTTGGCCCCAATTTTATCCAGGGCCACCGTGGTTCACAAGATGTCGGTACTGGAAGGTAAGTTTTGCTGCTAGAAGATATATGGTGTACTGACAACTCAGACCTACAGAGATATCCTATGACATGCTAAATGGCAATTCTTTGACCCTTGTTGTCTTTATAGTCGCGTTTCAATATATTTAGCCTGTGCAACTACTGTAAGATAGTTATGTCAAATGCAAATATACATTTATGTAAATAACCATGTTCATATACTGCCTCTATGTATGGAAAATGAATGGCATCATAGGTGCAATCCAACCACAAAACCTGATCACTATCTGATTGGGATTGGTGTAAAATAAAAAAATTAAAAAGACAAATTTTATAAGATTCATTCACACCAGCCTGCACACTAAAAGGTCCATTCTGATTCTGTCAGTCCATTTTTGACCCACTATTAAACTGATTGTAATCAGTCCCAATGGGTGGGCAGATGTAAGCGGACTTACATCTGCCTATATCCACCCACTTACGGGTCTGTCGGACCAAACACAAAGGTTTGTGTTTGGTCCAGGTCTGCTGTTTTTTTGCCCACCCACAATGATTACACAGGTCTGTATTGCCTCCATACCAAGATTGAGAAAAAAATCAGAACAGACATGGATGCCATATATGTAACATTGATCCGACTCCGCAGGTCTAGGACACCCTGTTGAGAATGAATGGAAGGCGCCCACGTAAAAGGGGATTTTAATAGGCTGTTTCAGCATGCAGGCTGGTGTACTACTTGTAGCGGCAGTGAGGGGTTAAATCACTGTTTACGTTTTTAATTTTTTGTCACTTTTCATTCATTCATTCATTTCTATAAATCCCAGCTGATCTGCAGTGCAGTGACCGGAGTGGACATGAGGTGAGGTGCCTGCCTATGAAATAGGACTTAAAAGTGACCCTGTCGCTATGCAAAAGTATAGACAGTATATACATTTACGGTATACCTTTACTACCGAATTCCGTAAGGAAACCGACACTTCCAGGAGTGTCAAACTTCTGGGTCTCCCACAGCTCACACTGGTTCCTTCTGCTGACCCCCACATCACTATAATAATCTGCAATTACATGGAGGTCAGCAGGAGGAACCAGTGAGAGCTACAGGGAATCTAGAAAATCAACACTCCTGGAAGTGTGGGTCTCCCTGTAGATCCCTAAATTACTCAGGATTGTATCAGCATTCGGTGGTACAGGCAGCAGGAAAGGTGGCTCTTCTATCCCATTCATACTTGAGCACAAGTGTCTTCAGGTGATTTTTGAAGCATTTTCAGGCGTTCAAGTGGTTTGCAGATAAGGACTTCTGACTTTTCTCTAACTTGCTTGATTTGCATGCTTGTTCCAGGTCAGTGGCTCAGAAAGCAATAAATCCAGTGAAACCAGGCAAACATAAATTTCAGAATGACATAGATGAAAAATCAGCCACCAGATCATGACTGGTTTACTTTAAAACCATCACAATTCTCAGCCAACAGATAAGTAACCAGTGTACCAATTATGCACAGTGAAAACTTCTGAATCTCAAAATATTATATACATACATAATATATAATGCAGTTATATATTTTAGAGGTGCACTGAAATGAAAAAAAAAATGTCTGGTCGAAACAGAAAACGTTTTTTGCTGCTAGCATTTAAAAAAAAAAAAAAAAGAGAGAACATACATACATACATACACACATATAGCTATGCAGCACATTGAACACTAGGCCCATGTGGTTGTTGCATATAGTGCATATATGCCATAAATTAAAAAACAAATTCAAACCAGTGTTTTAAAATGGAATTTCATCCACACACTTACATGGAGCCAATATAAATAGGCACAATGGTGATGTCAAAAAATCAGTAACCTATGACAAGAGGTTGCATTCCTGTATACTGTAAAATAATGAAATCTGGTTTTCTGCTATCGGACACTGCACTTTGATCTTTGCCTTGCTTAATAAATCTGACTTTATAACACCTGAACTATTACAAGCAGAATTAGGTGAAACTGCTATGAAAAGGAAAACAAAAAACCTTTGAATATATAAGACATAAAAAAAAAAAAAAATCATTCAGATCTGTAAATTGTATATTTTTGGGGTTTCTTTTTTACGGATGTGAACGCAGCAATCGACCCACACAGTTACATTCACATCAGTAAGACCAGGGAACAACCTACAGATTCCTGTGGCATCAATACCAGGTTTCCCTGTTCAGATGTGGCCGCTGTACCAAGTGAAGTTAATGACTAGGTGACAGCAGCTGCATCTGTACGTGGCAGTTCACATGTAATCATATATGATAAGATTACATGCGCTTTGGAATAGATGATTGTCGCTGAATGCTGGATAGATGCATCCAGCAACAGGCAGCTATTCCAGAACACATGTAATTGTTTCACACATGAACACTTTCAGATGCGGCTGCTGTCACCCCGTCATTTCACTTCAATGGGCTCAGCAGCCACATCTGAATGGGGAACAACTGTCATTGCTACTGAAAGAATCCATAGGTTCCTGACGCAGGAACGCCAGATTGCCCCATGTGAAGGAGGCCTAAACCTGCACTATGTGAAGTTCTGCATTCACAAGAGTAGGCTGCCTTAATGTAAGGTACATGAGCTTCTTTTCAGGCAGAAGCGCATGTTTTTGGCCCTATAGACTTCAATGGGAGCACCTGAAAAACACCTGAAAGATGGTTAAGCACAAAATAGCGAGGGGGAAAAAGCCATCTCCCCCTAATTGTAACTAGCTTTCAATTAGCTATAACAAAAACACTTAAGACTTTAAAACAATTGAAATAACGTACAAAAAAAATGACCTACGGATGGCGCAACATAAATCGAAGTATAGAAGCAGTCCAACGAGTAGAACAACTTTAGACGTTAAACATACATGGTGGCACTAGTGTACAGCAACATTACGGAACCATAAAAGGTGCCACCATCAGGCAAACATAGGCGTTCTACTTGTTGGACCTTGGTGTGCAGGTGACTGCTTCTATACCTGAATAGGGGCTCAGGTGCAAAATCACAAAGTGTGTTTTTCAAAGTCTCAGGGGTGAACGGGCACCACTGGAATAAATGGGAATTTTCATTTTAAGCATTGCTTGAAAACACAACGAAAAGCTCAGCTCGGAATACGCTCAATACGTTTTTTCCGTCTATAGCCTTCATTGTGTGCTTTTTCTTGGGTAGGTGGGGGGCTGTAATACAAGCAGACGTTTCATTTTCATGCAAGATCGGCTTTAACAAAACAAATGCGCAAATTTTACATCAACATGCGCTCTAATATCACGCCATTATATAAAACACAAAAAAAAGCTCACTGTGCTTACCAGGTTTGACGGTCTTTAGTCGAATAGGCTCCCTGAAGTGCCTTATCACAGCTAGCGTATCTCGATGAGTAAGGCCGCTGACCGGTGTGCCGTTCACTTCCAACAGTACATCTCCTTGGTTGGGTACCTTGCCAGCAATGTAGGTGGCTGCATCTTCTCGGAGGCGGCCCAAATAAGGAAACTCTCCATGCTCGGCGCCCCCGCGGATCTCCAGGAGGGCACTAGGATCACCGCCCACTCCCGATAACCCGCATTCCTGCACTTTGCTCAGCCAATGCTTCTTCTTTTTCAGGGTCTTGGACATGGTGCCTCATACGGGAGATGAGGTCTGAGCCCACCTATCCCGGGAAAGTGGACAGCCCTGACTACGCCAACAACGTCCTTATTAGCGCCAATTAACAGATGACAACTCCAGCCTTCAAGCCGATGTCTTCAAATATCTAAAACCACCAAAAACATATGACAGTCACTAAATAAATTGCTTCTGTATTAAATATAAAACTAATTAACAGCGTCAATCAGTGACAATGCTTCCATCAGCTAGACATAACCACAGAAATGACAATCTTTTTCATGACAGGCAACTGTCACAACACCGGCAACAATCACATAAAGCGATTGTAATACAATGGTGTCCTAGGAGGTAAAGAAAGCCAGATTGCTAGCAAGATGCTAAAGATATGAAGGCCATGTGAGCTTATATATATATATATATTAAAAAAAAAACAATAATCCAAGATATTCTAGAAGGAAATGGATCCTGATCTGCGATCACAAGGATAAAAACGGCAAGAAAATCAATGCATCCCAGTGGCTAGCTGATCTGGACATGTCAGAAAAAAATTACACATGGGGCTTACATGTAGTAATTAAAAGCAAGTTACTTTGTCACAACAAAAGGCGGCACAACAAATAAAAAGAAAAAACTAGAGAGGGGGAAGGTATAGGGCAAACAAGTTACTGAAAATACAATCTGCATGTAAACAGTCCAATATATACAGAGAATATTGCAAGCTACACAGAGGGATCCACTCTGCATGCACACAGCAGCAAGCTTATCATTTCACTTACTAGCCAAACTGTGAAAGCACATCCACATTTCAATGGCATCTAGGAAGTTCGGTAACTGATCCCAAAACAGCAAAAGCAATATTAAAAATAAAACAGAAATTCTGCTTGTGCTGCCCCTGACCGCTTTAAACATCAAGCCATCGACTAGCCCAGAAATATAAGATCAGATGGCAGGCATACAAGCAGGAGGGATCGCAGTTCAGTGGCTGATGACACACGAATGCGGCTGGATATGAATTCGGTCATCTAGAAGGAATGATGTACTAATTGAATAAGTGATCGTCAGTGGAAACCTGGTGCTGCGATGAGCTCACATGATGTGGCTCATGGAATGACATAGTAGCGCCAGACCACAGTCTGTGTCCGGGCCAAAGCTGGCTTGGATGGCTCTGGGGCTGAGTGCGTTGTCACACTGGAAAGTTATGCGGGACAAGTTAGCCTGGGATGGGGGGTGTGCCAGAAAGCAGCCTGTCACTTGGATCCGTGCACATGGATGAGACCATTCAGAGGATTAAGGGGCGTGGGACACAAGCATATAT